CAGATGATTGTGGTCACTTAACTGTGTTTCTCCTGCAGAGTGTCTGTGATTGGGCGGTGCCCTGCCCCCCCGCCTGCAGTGTCCGCGAGCCACAGCTCCGCTTTTGTTTTGTTTTATTTAATAAACGTTTTGAACTTTCCTACTGACTGTCTCTCCTTGAATACTGGGTCCATCTGTCCTCGTTCATGACAGTGTATGCCTAAAGTCTTTTACAACCCTTTTATTGCTGAGTTACAATTATGCTTTACATTCATCCAACAGATTTCCATTACACCCATGAAGGAGTCAATATCAAATCAATCTTCGGTTTAATCCTTTTTCATGATTTGTGACCATGTGACGTACAGATACAGGGAACTGCATGTACAAAATTGATTATTGTGGCTTTTCTGTAATCCACACTGAGTTAAAATGAAATTTGGTCAAATGTCTTTCAGGAATCAGTGCTCAAATCGCACAGATTTTTTACTTGGTACTTGATGACAATTGTTTATTTATTCATCTAGTTGGTTTTATGTCAGGGACAGACTTAAACTGGAATCTGCATATCCTTAACAGTTCAACTCAAAACATTTCACTCCAGAAGCTTTAATGCTAAGAAGCTGCATTTATTCCAAAGCCACTGACTGTTTGTTTTGGATCATTGTCTTACAGCAGCAGGTTAAGTGGAAGCTGTTAATATTTAACAAGATTTGAGTGATTTTTTTTCTTTAATGACAGACAGCATCTTAGGTGCACCAATGAAAGTTATTGCACATCCTTCCTCCCTAGCACATATTATTTCTGCGTGAATGCAGGGAGTGTTTCTGTTTTTGAAGGATCTTTGTTGAAGAGTACTGTGCATTTTCAAACACTTGCTTATATACTGCTGCTTGAAGACCTGCAGCAACAGGAGCAGTTTTAATGCCTCCATTTGTATGTTGTTAATAGATGGTATTCCTACATTTTCCCACTCAGGGAAAATAAAGGCCATTCATTTTCTTTGCTGTTCTTTTCTACGCTATAACATCAACAGAAAAAAGCTCCCGGCACCATCCTGCTGCCACCACTGTGGATGAACTTTTAGTGCTCTGAAGTTGGAAAGCCTGCGATGGACTGGCGACCTGTCCAGGGTGGACCCCGCCTCTCGCTCGTAGACAGCTGGAGATAGGTATCAGCACCCCTCGCACCCCCAGTCAGGATAAAGCGTGTCAGAAAATGGATGGATGGATGGAATTTGGAAAGCTTCACCTTGATTTTTGCAAAACCTCTTTTTGTCATTGTGGACAATCAACCAAATATCCTCCTTGTTTGAATCTTTTACAGCGTGATTTAAGTTTTCTGTTGACTTTAACAGAGATGTTCTGGTAGTCTCCAATTAAGGACTGTCTTTAGCTTGGATTATATTTGATTCAATTTATTTATAAAGCATCTATTAACATGTGTCATCTCAGAAAAGTTTCCAGAGAGAATTCAGTTAAATCTTACAGACATGTTGTTTAAAAGTTTTCTGTCTAAGGAAACCCAGCTGATTACATGGAATAGTAATTGATTCTGTTTTATCAATTGGAGGCAGTTTGAGTCTTTTTGCAGATATATGCAAAGTGGTGACACTATATGTTTAACTTTTTCTCATGTAGAGTCACAGTTAACCTCATGACCACCTGACACTGATATCCAAGTAATTTCTGAACAATCATTAATGGGAAGGTTTATTCTGTGTCTGAAAACATGGAGGAAGAGCTAAAAACATGAACCAAGGCGGGAAGGAGCCACTGGGTTTACAAAGGATTTATAGATATTTTTCTATTCTTTCTGAACACATTTCTGTTTCTTTTGATTTTCAGTAGCTGTCGGATGCAGTGGCTGTCTGAAGCTATGGGCAAGGAGCAGCATTCGTTGGTGTAAATAAACTCTAAATCAACATTCTTTATTAAAATAGA